GGGTTTTTTTTTTTTTTACATTAATTAGTAATAATGAGAACACATTTAAAATACTGCAAAGCTAGCAAAATGAGGGTACTTGGCTTCTGAACATATACCACACACACACACACACACACACCATACAAACAATATAATTTATCTTTACAAAAATTACAGCCAAGCAATAGAGAAGAAGGATGTTAATAATGAAGATACTAACACATATGTTCACTACATGTATCTTATACAATGAAATGCTACATCTTGTACCCTGAAATGCCATGTGTAGAGAGCCAAGCATAGTAAATTTAGGCTCATCACTGAGGTTAAGAATTATTTGAGAAGAATTTAGTGCTTACATGTAACATATTCAATTAAAACTTTCTACATAGCAATTCCTGGATCATAACAATGCGTCCCACTATATATCTGAGAAGTTGAGTCTTCTTTGTTGGCAGTATAAAATTTCTGACCAGTATCAAAATTCTGGTAAAACACAAATTGAAGGCATTTTCTAGTGTATGCAAATGTTATAGGGGGCATCAATGAATGTGAGAGAAAACCTTAGAGTTCACACTAAGTTTCTGCTGAGCTTTGTCAAACCAAACAGCTCAACTATAAGGCAAGAAAAAATAACCCCCTATAACAGATTAGTGGGTCTTACTAAGTAAAGACAGGAATGCAATCTTGGGGAAAAATTCCCTACAGAAACAGATCTGAAACAACTGGCATTGAAACAAACATATTATCTAACATCTTTCATTCAGTCACTGGTTCAGAAGCCTGACAAACAATATACTGGTATATATTATCAAATTAACATTTTGGAATCAGCACCAGTCCCCAAAACCTCAAATTATAATATTTAATATTCATTAAAATACATCCTTTTTGTGCTATATTAACACAACTACAATCAAATTAAAGCAAGTTGAATTTACTCAACTTATATATATTTTTGTGTATACTGGATAGCAACTTTATTTTTTTTTTTATTTACTTGTGCTTCTGTTCTGGGGCACTTTGATTGAAGAGAAATTCATTTCACAGGATTACATCTTGCTAAAGCATTCCTTAGCATTGGTCCAAACTTGAATTCCCTATTAAAAACAAAAACAAGAAAGAAAAAAACTTTAAAATGTATTCTTGGAAGGATTCTGAAAATCCAACTGTTTGGCTTACTGGTATGCTACTTTCACCTTTTGGAATAACTGTCAAGTCCAGCAAATATGACACTATTTCTAGCAATGACTAATATAAGTGAATGTCTAATGCTTCTGAAAAAAGAGAATCGCTTGTATAGCCTATCTTCAAGATGGGGAAAGAGCTACTACAACTTTTTGGAAAACTGAGTTTTCAAGGCTCATAACAAACTTATTTATTCATATCACGTTTGCATTATTTCTATTTGTAAACCAAACAAGTTTTCAGGAAATTGTTCTATTAATACTTAAAACAAAAGAAAAATACCTTATTAGTTTAACAATTAAATAAAAATTAATTATTTAAAAATTAATGGATTATTAAATTATTAGTCTAACAACACATGTTTTGATAAAAACCAATAATATGCTGAATTATCAGATCCTTCTTAGTGTTCTGGCAGGCTATTTAGCACAAAGCTAATATAATATACCTAATATGCTTAAACAAAAATGCATGTATATAAAAATATAGCAGTAAAATCTAAGGAAGTGGTAGAAACAAAGGTATTTTTTCAACAAACAAGACACATATTTTATGAATAAGTAGTATTTTCTTTAATATTTAAGTATGCCAATATCTATCAATATTCGAAGCTTTGATAAATATCTTCAAATCTTAAATATCTTTGGCTGGATAAAGCAGTATCTAATAGAGTACTGGTTGTTAGAAAGGATAAGATATGGACTATCACAGTAAGAGATCTATGAGACATCAAATGAGCAAACAAAAACTACACACTAGCACATACAATGCAATCCCATTTGTGCAGGGAAAAGGAAAGTGTATATTTTCTTAATGATTGTAAATGTGTAAGAATGTCTGGAAGGATACACATGAAGTCTGTAACAGTGGTAAGTTTCTAAAAAGGGATTTGGGGGAGGAGGGAGAGAATTTTTACTTAATATGCTTCTGGATTTTTAAAATTTTTGCAATGAGAGTATGTTACTTTTATGATAGTTTTTCTGCTCTGACCTTTATCATTTCCTTCCTTCTATTAACCTTGGCTTTGTTCTTTCTGTAAACCCTTTAGGTGTAGGTTACATTGAGACTTTTCTTCTTCTTTTTTCTGTATGTTTATTTATTTATTTGGCGTGGGGCGCAGGGGGTGGACAGAAAGAGGGAGAGACGGAGAATCCCAAGGCAGGCTCTGCACTGTCAGCACAGAGCCCAATGCAGAGCTCAAACTCATGAACTGCGAGATCATGACTTGAGCCAAAATCAAGAGTCAGATACTCAACTGACTAAGCTACCCAGGCGTCCCGAGATTTTTCTTGTTTCTTGTATTGCTATAAATTCCTTCTTTGAACGGCTTTTGCTGCATCCCAAAGATTTTGAACCATTGTGTTTTCATTTTCATTTGTATTTTTTGATTGCCTCTTTGATTTCTCCATTAATTCATTGAAGGTTTGGTTAGCATACTGGTTAGCCTCCACAAGTTTGTGTTTTTCCAGTTTTTTTCTTGTGACTGATTCCTGGTTTCATGCAATTGTGGTCAGAAAAGATGATATTATTTCAGTTTTCTTCAATTTACTGAGACTTGTTTCGTGGCCTAACATGTGATCTATCCTGGAGAATATTCCATGTGCACTTGAAAAGAACGTGTATTCTGTTGTTTTTGGATGGAATGTTCTATATGTATCTGTTAAGGCCATGTGGGCTAAAGCATCACTCAAAGATACTATTTCCTTATTGATTTTCTGCCTTGATGATCTATTCATTGATATGAGTGGGGTGTTAAAACCCCCTACAATTATTGTATTACCATCAATTTCTCCCTTTATGTCTGTTAATATTTACCTTATGTATTTAGGTGTTCCAGTGTTGGGTAGATATTTACAACTGTTATATCCTCTTACTGGATTGGCCCCTTTATCAGTATGTAATGCCCTTTGTCTACTGTTACAGCCTTTGTTTTAAAGTCTATTTTGTCTAAGTACTGCACCTTAGCTTTTTTTCCCACTTCTATTTGCATGGAATATCTTTTTCCATATGATCATTTTTTTAATTTGAAAAGATAAAGTAGCTTAAAAATCAATCAAGTATTGGGGTGCCTGCATGGATGGCTCAGTTGGTTACGCACCTGATTTAGGCTCAGGTCATGATCTCACGGTTCATGGGTTTAAGCCCCATGTCAGGCTCTGTGCTAACAGCTCAGAGCCTGGAGCCTACTCAGAATTCTGTGTCTCCCTCTCCCTCTCTGCCCCTTCCCCACTTGCACTCTATCTCAAAAATAAATAATGTTAAAAAAAAACAAATCAAGTATTTCGTAAAAGCTCAGTCCTTGATTCAACAAATTAGAAAATTCACTATAAAAAAGGTTAACCAAAATAATACTTAGAATAGTTGATTTTTAAATGCTAATATTAATGCTTTTTATATAAGACTATTTTGTTTTGGTTTACTACTACTTCAATTTAGTCATTTGATTATATTCAATTACCACTTTGGATATCTGACACTATAACACGGTATGGTATATTTTAAAAGTTAATATACAACTAAAATAAAATATAGATAATCATATTTATCTAAAAAAAACTAGTATTAATCTTGACTTCTCGTACTTAAGTTTCTAAAAAAAAATACTGTAGATTTTCAAATACAAAAATCTATTATTCTACTTAAGGAAGAAAATAAAACATGATGAAACTTTATAGTACTGTTCCTGGGAAATAAAGTGAACACACATCTTTCAAACCTCATGTAGTAAACTCTTGTTTACTGTAATGGTTTTCTTAGGAAACATGAGTAGACATACAAGCTATCCAACAGTATGTCCAAATACACCTACAGTGATATCCTTTTTATTCAGAGATTAATTTCTAGCACCCTCAACCACCCCGCCCTAGGTAAAATGGGGAGAAAAGTCCTTTGAGCCATTATATAGTCTGCATTTTCCTTTGGAAAAGCAGCAAACAGAAGATCACAAGAAGCTTACTGATGAGTCTTTTATGAAAACACAATAAAACCAACTCTAAAAAACGTGCGTTACCTGATCTTTCAGACCTCCTGAGATTAAAAAAGGGCAGGCTAGAAAGACGACTAAACGTGAGGCACCCTGTAAAGCAGTAGGATGTGGCACAATGACAAAAATAGATAAAACACCACCAAGCTGTAATCATACTCCACTGTCAGCATTTGCAGATGGTTTGGTCATGATTTTAACTTCTCTTAAGTGACCCCAAAGATCTATAACATGGAGTAACTTACACTTTAACTGGGGCATAAATATGAATTTGCCCAATACAAAAAAAGCCCACTTGACTAATGCTAGAGTCTGGTGTTTACATCTTAAAATATCTTTGTTTACTATGCTTACTGCTAGTGATACAAGTGAAAAGGGCTAGGGAAGTGATGGTGACTAGCCAGAAAATACACATTTCAGATGAATTAAAGCATAAGTTGTTTATATGAGCATGGTTTTTCCAAGAAGGTCTTCATAACTGAGAATTCATCTTGCTATTTACATGATTTACTGAGACAATGCATGTTAAGTTGCTTGGTAGACTGCAAAATGCTGGTAAATTGTAAAGCACTGATAGTAGCTGATAGACACATAGGCAGGTCTTGGGTTATAAAAAGGAAGGAATGTTTCATATTTTGTTCTTACAACAGCATTTTAGAAAGATTTTGGTATTGTCAAAACACTCCCCTGGGGCCCCTGGGTGGCTCATTCGGTTGAGCGTCTGACTTTGGCTCAGGTCACATGATCTCACGGTTTGTGAGTTCGAGCCCTGCGCTGGGCTCTGTGCTGACAGCTCAGAGCCTGGAGCCTGCTTCAGATTCTGTGTCTCCCTCTCTCTCTGCCTCTCCCCCACTTGTGCTCTGTCTCTCTCTCTCTCTTAAAAATAAAATGTAAAAAAAAAAAATTTTTTTTTTTTCAAATAAAAAATAAAACTCCCCCAAATGAAGCTTCCATGTTCATATCTTCTACTGTGGACATCAGCTACATGGAAGACTCACTATGACAACAAACCATGTCATGACCACATTTTCCCCAATGTTTAAGCTATTTTCCAATCGAAGCACTATCTATCACTATTAGGAACAGTATTTTACCACCATATCCAAGAACACCATATAATCCAAGTAAAGTTGTTGGTATATATTTGCAAATACTGGATATAAATAGAGCACAGAAATTTGGTACCTTAGGTGAATGAAGACTCAGTAATCGACATTTTGATTATTAAAAAATACTTCTTTCAAAATTAAGTAAAGAAATTGGAAAACATTCTGGAAGGGGAGAAGGGGAGAAGGGGAGAAGAATGGGCTTTAAAATGAAAATGAAAGGGGCGCCTGGGTGGCTCAGTCAGTTAAAGCACCCAGCATTGGCTCAGGTCATGATCTCATGGTTTGTGAGTTCAAGCCCTGCGTCGGCCTCTGTGTTGGTAGCTCAGAGCCTGCTTCAGATTCTGTGTCTTTCTTTCTGCCCCTCCCCTGCTTGCACTCTCTCTCTCTCTCTCTCAAAATAAATAAATAAACATTAAAAAAAATAAATTAAATTAAAATAAGCTTTCTAGTCCAAGGAAGAGAAATTAGTTTTAAAGAAATTCATAAGCACTTTTGAATATACCGTATCTTCCCTGACACCAAAACCTACCTTTTTGCACATACTGATCTGCATGACTGCATAACTTATGAGAGCTTCCTTTAAATCATGGTTCTTTTGTTCTTTGAAGCGTTCAATATCAGCCCAAGCATTTTTCACAAATTCTCTGAAATAGAATGTGTAGTCAACATTATTACTTACTCAAATTATGTAAACTATATTATAAATTCTAATAACCAGTTCTCATTCGCATTGGTTTTTGTCTATATAGATGAAAAAACTATTGTATATATGACAGTTTTTTTCTTCCTAAAAATTATACTAGAAAAAAAAAGCAGAGACAGTCATACATTCTTCTTCATTTTAATAATCAATATTTTTGCCCCAAGAATTCCAGCTTCAAATTATTCCCATAAATCAGCTATAAATGGCTCTTTCCACATGAAGTTGCCCTCCTGGAGTCACTGGAAAACATACACTCTTTTGACAAGATATACCGTATCACAATCATCATGTACTTGCTTTAAATGACAACTAGAGTTTTCAAAATTCTGAGAGGCATTTACCTTTTTAACTCTACTCATAAAAGTTTACTTTTACTTATTTGGTGCCAGTTCTAAAAATTAACAAAAACACCTCAAAACCAATGATACACTCTTGGTCTGCCTTGATCTACGTACTATTGGACAAAAACAGCAATAAGGAAAATAAGTCAGTGACGGAAGACCTTTGAGAGTTGAATTTCTAGAAATACTTATGGAATAATCACATGCCAAGTCAATGTAAGGTGTTGGAACATAAAGATGAAACATACACAGTCATTGACTTAGAAGGGCTCCTGAACACCCAAAACAAAACTGCCATGCTATTGTGGCATGAGCTAAGTGCTATGACAGCCTGCAAGGCTAGGAGTAAGCTTCACAAAGAAAGCGCAAGAGCTGGGCACTGAAGAATCATCAGGCTTTTGTTAAGTGACGGAGAAGAAAGGGCAAAGGGAATGTGCAAAGGCCAGAAATCAGGAAAAGTGCAGGAAAATAATTTTATAAAGTTGAAATTCTTCTTTCTCTTTCCCCCATACTAAAACTGTTTCTGTAACATGATTTTTGATCATTCAAATTTCTTAGGAAGTCAATCACTACATGTTAGAAGAAAAGGTTATAGGGGTGTCTGGTTGGCCCAGTCATTGGAGCCTGTGACTTTGATCTCAGGGTTGGAAGTCTGAGCCTGATGTTGGATGTAGAGATTACTGTTTTTTTTTGTTTTTTTGTTTTTTTTTGAGAGAGAGAGAGAGAATGCAATATGGGGAGAGGGAGAGTAAAAGAAAGAGGGGCGGGCGGGGAGAGAGAGAGAGGGAGAAAATCTTAAGCAGGCTCCAGGCTCAGCATGGAGCCTGATGCAGGACTCAATCCCATGACCTTGGGATCAGGACCTGAGCCAAAATAAGAGTCAGACACTCAATTGACTGAGCCACCCAGGTGCCCCAGAGATTACTTAAAAATAAAATCTTTTTTTAAAAAAATTTTTTGAACATTTATTTATTTTTAATCTTTATTTATTTTTGAAACAGAGAGACAGAGTGTGAGCAGGGAAGGAGCAGCTAGAGAGAGGGAGACACAGAATCCGAAGCAGGCTCCAGGCCCTGAGCTGTCAGCACAGAGCCTGACATGGGGTTCAAACTCATGAACTGTGAGATCATGACCTGAGCTGAAGTTGGACACTCAACCAACTGAGCCACCCAGGCTCCCCGAATATTTATTTTTAAGACAGAACACGGGT